AATCCATAAATTCAAATCCAAGGAATGTCAAGATTCAAGTCTAGGAAGTTCTCAGAGTCTTTTCAAGAAGTCTTTTGCAAATGCTTTTTAACTTTGTTTTAAGACTTAAGTTTTAAAGTTGAGTAAAAAGTAAGAGTAAAGTTCATTTTCTTTAAAATGATATATGTGAACTAAGTATTTTCAAAAGTAAATGTTTTCACATTTAAGATGAGAGGAAACTGAGATTTCCAAAAGAGTTTTGAACAGCAAAAGGGAACATTGATTCCAAGAGAGCTTTTTAAGCTAAGTTTGAGCAATTATCTCAAACCAGAGACGAAGTTGTTTTAAAAACATATGAGCTAAGTATATTTTGGGAGTAGTATTGAGCACCGATATGGGGACGCGAGTTCATATTAACTCAAGCCCCCATAAACCATGTAGCTATCATGGGCAGAAAAAGGATCATACTTTTTAGATGATTCCTTAGTGATTTTTAGCATAGAATAGTGGATCCACTTAGTAGTTCAGGTTCTATTCCGATGGCAAGGTATAGGACGGTCCTTGGCAATGTGAGGTAAAATGTTGTACCATCACTTAGGCTCATAGTGATGGTTTTCGGTTAGAGAAACTCCCACAGAAGTTATTGTATTTTTATATACATCAGTTTATTGTACTTTTACATACATTTCAGAGTTATGTTGTATCCTTATATATACACAGAGTTGACATCATGTTTTAAACAGTGTTTCTTTATATTACACTTGTTTTAAATCTGCTTTATATTGAAATGAGTTCAGTTATGTATTCATGAGTTGAGAAGAGCCAATGTAAGTGTTCTTTTAGATTCCCTTTCAAGCCTATGTTGTTTTAGCATTTCAACTCGCATACTCTTACATTCAATGTACTGATGCCAGTTGGCCTGCATCTTATTATGATGTAAACACAAGTACCTAGGGTCGGCATCCGGCGCATCGTTGATCCAGTGAGCAGTTCAGAGTCTGTTGGTGAGCCTCTTTGCATTCCATAGGACTCCTTTTCATTGTTTTCAGTTTTAGTATTAGTTCATTAGGATGTCGTGGGCCTGTCCCGACATCCATCTCAGTTGTTTAGAGGCTTCATACATAGACAGACAATCAGTTAGTTAATTCAGTTGTCTTTACTTTTCCTTTCATATGTTAAATACTTGAGTTTGCCTTAAAGGCCAGTTGAATGTTCCTTTATAACATTCTAGTTACTTCATAAATGTGTATGTGATGAGTTAAGTTTTCCGCTGAGTTAGTAAGTCAGGCCAAGGTTCGCTTGAGGCCAGCAATGATCTTCGAGTGCCAGTCCCACCCAGGGTGTAGGCTCGGGGCGTGACACAAATACCCTTAAGAAATAACTGTCAGACAACCCTACGGTTTGGACCTACAATCGATACTAGTCAACCATAGAACCAACTTTAGAAACCCAAATTCACCTTACTTCCCATGAAACCTTTGTACGAGTCGTCGACTTTCCAACGGTCCGTAGACCCCATTCGTAGTTCTTAACTTTTAGTCCAAAATTTCACTAAGTATGAAACCTTTCTACGACCCGTCAAACATCCTACGACCCGTCAAACATCATACGACCCGTCATGTTTATTTGTAGGTCAAACTTTAGAAACTTGAAATTCCAAAAATTCATCTCCAAATCTATGACTCTCTTCCTACGGACCGTAGAACTTCATACGGTACGGTCTGTAGAAAGGACTCATAGAACCTTCTTCAGTGCCAAAAAATCAGAACTTTCCTTTTCTTTTGACCTTCTAATTTTCGAGGTGTTACAATTAGCCCTAGTGATTGCCAAAACCACAAATAATCTAACTAGACTAAGTTGTGCTCGGGTGAAAGTGAAAGTTGGTCTACTAAAAATACCACCTAAGAGAATTCAAATAAATTGTGTAGAAGAGGACATAGCATAGAGAAATCCAAATGATAGAGAATTCAGTATGACTATCTTCCAAAGTATTGCACACACTGTAGAATTATTAAGGAGCCACCATCATTACTAATCCAGAAGATCAATACTAGTAAGAGTCCCATAGCTACGCTAGTTTTTTAGGTAATCTTCACCCTAAGACTGAATTTGTTCAACATGTCTTGATTGTCTAGCTAATGCTACCATCGCAAACAACCTCTCAAAGAATAGAGAGTGAACGACCCTTCTATCTAGATCGTTGATTCTGCTCGGATCACTGTAAACTTCAAGGTCATGATATGCAAGGATGTTGGGTTTACACTTGGAGAACATGTCAAAAAAATAACACACTCAAGAGGATAAAAAGACAACTAACAAGGAAAAGATGAAATAACATAGATATATACATACAATCTCTTATTAAGAGTTAAATGAATTGTGAAGTGATGACGTAGACACTTTTAATTCATCAAAGGATGAAATGTTTACACTTATAATTCATCAAATGATTATATGTATATGTATCACCAGTGATTGTTTATGTCTGATATTCATACTCCCAATAATTTGAGTATGAAGCTAAAAAAAAAAGGAGATAGTTTATGTGTGTTTTTGCTACTTATGTCAATACAAAATAAAAAAAATAAGAAGTTCTTTTTTTAGAAAAAAATAAAAATAATTAAAAAATATTTACACACGTGGCGGCGCGTGTTATACACTCAACCAATTTTAATTGGCGGAATCCATCGGTGGCCACCTAATGTTGGCACCAACTTTCACTTAGACATTTCAATCAAAGTTTGTTCATTTTAGACACTCATAGTAACGTTCTATTGTGTGATTTTGACACTTTTTGTGCGTGTGAAAAGCTTGAATTTTGCAAAAATATACATTATTTTTTCATTTAACTAAAAGAAAATGCAAATATTTGAAAATATACTCCCATCTTCTTCACCTTTCCAAATAAAAAATCAGTTATCACCAGTTGAATACCAACAATCACCGAAAAATTCTTCTCAGCATTTTTTACCATAAAATCCTACAACCTCTTCGTTACCAACAACCAAAACAAAAAAAACACACAAAAAAACTTTTAACCATCACTTAGAAACATCAAATTTCATAACTCATACACAAAATTATTATAATTTTTTTTGGAGTTTTATATAAAAAAAGAACTATGTTAGAAAAAATGGAGTCATGGACATTATCAAAGATTGAATTCATCATCTTTCTTCTTCTCTACATCTTTTTCATCATCTTCACTTAATTTGCGTTTTTTCTCTTTCGAACATGTTTTTTGTTTTCGAAATAGGGTAAAAAATGCCCTTAAACTATGTGAAATGAACAAATATTCCCTTAGTTTATAATTTGGCTAAAAAATGTCCTTGTTGTCAATTCTATAGTCCAAAAATGCCTTTGACGTTGATAGTTTGGTCCATAAATGCCCCTATAGTTACTAAATGGGTCAAAAATGCCTTTTTTCGAATAAATATATATGTGTTTTCTTTTTAAACACATCCCGTTCCTAATAAAATTATTATTAAAGAACCCTATTCTTGTTTTCTTTCTTTTTAAATCATTTTAACTAATAAAAATGAAGTAAATGATTTTTTTTCTTCTTAATTTCATTTTATCAATTAAAATAAAATAACTTCATGTACCCTTTTAACAAATAGTATATGTCGTCCATATATATAAGATCATAGTAAATCCATCATTAATTTTTATTTATATAACGATAAAAATAATTATAATAAAATAAGAAATATTTTTATTTTTATTTTTTTCCGAATTGAAGTAGGATAAATATTTGCTAATTAAAAAAGTATGATTAGAAAAAGAATGTGAAAAAATTTAAATAATTTTTGAAAAATGACATTTTTGACCCATTAAGTAACAGTAAGGGCATTGTTGACGACAAAGACATTTTAGATCAAACCGTAAACGGAGGACATTTTAGTTCATTTTACTTAGTTTAAGAACATTTTGACCCTTTTTCGTTTTATTTTTTATAATTGTTTTTGATCTGTCTTTTTTTTCATCTCTTTTCATCACAATTTCAAACTACATTCAGTCATCTTCAACAACCTCCTCTTCTTGTATATATCGACATCAATCTGAATAAAAAGGAAGATGAGGAGTAAAGTGTGTGGAGAAAAAAAGTGGGAAGGAGGGAGGTGAACGTTCAACAAAGAGAAAGACGAGAGGAGGGATTGTTGCAGTGGAGAATTACAGGGTTTTCATTAATGGAGACAAATAAAGGGTGATGGTGGTTAAAGGAAGAGGAGATGTGAAAATGGTGAAAAGAAAAAGAAAGAGGCTATTCCAATTGTTTTTTGTTTTTTTTTTAATTATTGAAATATGACTTTTTTCTAAGTAATTAACTAAATAGTTTAAAAACAATTTTTTATTCACAATATCTTTTTAATATTTATTTTTGGTATATATGTCACATGTCTTTATTTAATTTTTCATTCTTATACATTATTGGCGAATGTGTTACACTTTCTTTAAGATTTTTGCTCAATATTTAAAAAGTGTCAAAATGATACAACGATGCCTTAATATAGGTGTCTAAAATGAACAAATCATAGTTGAAATGTTTAAGTGAAAGTTAATGTCAACTTTAGATGGTCATCAATAAATTCTGTCATTTTAACTGATTGAAAATATCATGTGAGCACAAGATAATATAAAAATATAAGAAAATTGAATTCGAAAAAACAATATGACCCGAGTTAAGCTACAAATTCCCTTAAATATAAAATTAGAACTTTGCCTAATGATTTAGAAGTCAAAATTCACTTTGAAATTACGAGTTCAAAAATTTAAGAATATTTTACAACACTTTCCTATTTTCCGGACAAAGAGAGGATTTGGGAATGAAGGATCTCAAATCTCGAGAGTGAAGGTAGTTTGCTACTCTAATCAAACGGCCTAGCCAATTGCACATTCCGTATAATTACCAAATTATCTTTTATGGGTTCCCTATTCTCTTCCCGCCTTTTGGTCTCTTGTTCACCCCTTCCAGCACCGAATCGAAACGAAGAGCAAAAACACAAGTCGCCGATTAACTGATGTGCGGAAGAGCTCGGTGTTCTCTCAGGCCCGATGACATTCCTCGGGCTTGTCACCTCAACGGTCGCCGTGTCCGGCATGTTGACATGAACCGGTAACCGCTTTCAAATTATCTCAACCGTTTAATGAGATGTTCCTAAAATATTGATGTTTTTGAACCAAATATTAGAAAATTAAATTGTGTGAACTTATTTTTAGGTATCAGCCGTCGTATAATGTGTCGCCGGGGTTTAGTGTACCAGTGGTAAGGAGAGAAGATGAGGCCAACGACGAAGGCGCTGTTCTTCATTGCATGAAATGGGGTCTTGTTCCCAGCTTCACTAAGAAAACTGATAAGCCTGACCATTACAGGATGGTAAATGGAAATTTGTCACTGATTGAGCACTTCTTTCATTTTCATTTTGAGAGTTGTTTTGATTTTGTCCAGAACTGATTACAGATTTAATGAGTTATAGGGGTCAAATTGGTACAAACTGAAGATGATATTAGGAGTGAACTATGAGGATAACTATTGATACAATATTGAGATTATGATTTGGTTCATTGTGATAAAAATAGGATATATTATATAAAAAATTGATCTTGTTTTTTGGTTTGCTAAGTGGATTAACTTGTGTTCTCATTAGTGCCTTTGTAGAATACTTTGTCACATTCTAAGATGTGATATTTAATACTTATCTTACTAGATTATCACTGTAAATTTATTCAGGAAGTATAACTTAAAGTTTTCGTTACTTGAAAAATTCTTCCAAAATATTTGGAAACAGGCTAAAAATAAGGTCTATATTTTATGAAGTAAATAAAATTATAAATTTATGAAACTAAGAACTTAAGTTTTACTGAATGAAACACTGATTTATGTACAAGTACCTTTAATTACTTTGAAAGTTAAAGCTGTTTCGCCTGCATCGCACCGCCCTGCATACAACTTCTTATATTTAAACCGAAATACCTCAACCTGATGAGTTCAAAACAACAAACTTGTTAATTTTCATTTGAGATTGTTTTTAAAAAAAATGTTTTAACCTGCTCCACCCTGTTTATGATTTGTCTTAGTTTTATGGTTTAGTGGGCTGCCTCATGATTAATGGAAGTCGAAGGTAGTAGAGGGAAAGACTGTAGGTAGGATTGAGAGCCTACACCACTTTGGTGTAGGATGGAGTTGTAATTGTTAGGCTATAATTCTTTGCCCTAAAGTAGTCAATTCCTAGCTGAATATAAGGAATTTCTAGTACCCCAATTGACAATACCACCCTTGTTGAGATATTGAATAATGCTTGGTATGGTGTTTGACAACATGAAACCTAAATCCATGTACCAAACAGTGGATTATTCAGCGTCATGTCTGATATGATATGGTGTCTGCACCAAGTGCCCCCTTAATCAGTTCTATATTTTTATTTTTGTTTGTTGAAGACTTTCCAGGGCATAAAGATACCACATCCTCATAGCTTTTAAATCAAAATTTCAAATAAACTCTTGAACTTATTTTAGCTGCAGGCGCTGAAATCTCGTGTTTGCTTCACATTTCACACTACCTGTGTCTACTTCTATTGGCAATCTGTTGATCTTTTCTGTAAAAGAGTGATTTTATCTTTGATGACGTCTAAATTTTCCATCTAACTTTTCTCAACAATTTCTGGTGATTTTTGGCCTGCTCATTTTGCTCTCCTAGGAGTCCAGTCACCTGACTGGGAAGATTATATCTGTTGATATTTTGGTTATTTTTGTTCCTAGTTATCATTTGTTTAGACTTGTATTTTTCCTATAAATGTATGTTTGTTCGACAATCTATCAAGCTTAGAGTGATGTAGAATTTCAGTGTCAAATATCATATAATTTCCTAATTTGTAACTTTTCTTTTAGCTGTGGAATCAGTCAATATATCACTTTGTTGAACTACTGCATGAGTGACAGTTTGAATACGCCATAATGTCTTCATCTGCTTCTAGTACCTGTGGGGTGATGGGAGTGGGTTTGAGAAGAGAAATAGAAAAAGAATAGAGATTATCTGGTGTAGTTTGTTTGATTTTATTAAGAATTGTTAGAATTATTTTCGGGGAAGAGGATAGAACATCTAGAATATAACCATTTACAATATAATGATATTTTCTCACTTAGATTTGATCACATAATGCGTTACTTATATACGGATTGAACATCTTGCTGTCTTGGCCACACATAACAGTATATGACCATGGTTGTGTGCAGTTTAATGCTCGGTCTGAGACAATAAAGGAGAAGGCTTCATTTCGCCGCCTTATCCCAAAGAATAGGTGCCTGGTTGCAGTTGAGGGGTAGGTTTTTTCTTCAGCTATACAAGTCTATCAGAGTATCCATTTCTATGTCCAATCTGCTTTTATCTGTTTCTTTTCACAAAGCTGACTTGTAAAACTGAGATCTTCTTGATAAAGGTCACGCCATCAATAACTTCCAGTGAATGGAGCTTACCTAAATTTGCTTCCTTCCAAAAAACAAAAGAAAAACTGAGTAGAATTATTATAAATCAAAGCACATATTAAGTTACCAATTTAAAAAAAAAACTCAGAGCACATTTTGGAGAAGCCAAAGCTTCTTTCATGTAAGTTTCTCATTTGTTGTCAGAATAGCAGAATTTGTCTCAATTGCAATATCAATGGTTCTCAGTGATGCAATTTTCTTCAGATTTTATGAGTGGAAAAAGGATGGGTCAAAAAAGCAACCTTATTACATACATTTTAAGGATGCCGGGCCCCTGGTGTTTGCTGCCCTTTTTGACTCTTGGAAGAATCATGAAGGTGAATTACTGTTTTTTTAGGGTGACAAATAGTGTGTTACTAGTCACAATTATTAACATCAGTCTCATTCATGATCTGTTTATTTTTTAATGTCCTTATGGCATCCAAAATTGATTCTGGAACAAGTTTGATTATCTTGGCAATGACTAGTCTTGTGTCCTTTTCTTATTTTACATGTGAGCCAGATTACAATCGGCAGATTTATATTAATTATGTACATATCTTTTGGATTTGAAATACTGCACTTGTGAAGTATAGGATATTGCTACAACCTAATGTGTTATTTTGTACTTACTTTAGTTAGCAAATTACTTCCATTGGACAACTTGAATACTGCCATTGAGATTTGTTCTGTCTCCTAATACAGGTGAGGTTATTTATACATTTACTATATTGACAACTTCGGCGTCCTCATCTTTAGAATGGCTCCATGGTTAGTTTTCTTTTATTGACTGTTGGTAGAATTCCTTTGTTCTTGATGTACATTATACTCTAATACTTGACCTTATAGCATTATTTTTACTTCTTTTTTACAATCTATTTTAAACTTTTAACAAGAGTGTCTTGATATTGCTCCAATTTCAATTATTTCATCTTATAATTCTCTGGTTTGGTTGAGAGCAAGACAAAGTTTAGCTGTTTGTGTAAAACTGATTTGTAGCTCCATACACACTTCCATTACATGTTCCTTAAGAGTAAATCATCTAATCAGTTGATACGCCAAAATCTACGGAAAATTTACCTTTGAAATGGTTTAAGTATGTCTTTCTCTAAAGTTAATGATAATAGATGGTACCTTGAATCTATGAACTTTCCTTCCAAAAGTACAGGTAATCAGCAAGTCATTTCAAGGAAAAGAAAGTTGACTAGCTTTGCGCTTTTATGACATGGAGGGAATCATCTTATTCATGTTGCAATATAGCAGTTAATGTTTTGAACTTTTTGCACGGATTGCTCCGATTTCGGGGTGGTCTTTAATTTTTTCCCTCAATACGGTGGTCTTTAATTTTTCCCCTAGTGCTCATTCAATGAAAATTTGTGGGCTAAACTATCCTTATCGATGACCTAATTTCGCTCAACATAAGTTCAAAGAACTTTTGCCTCGGACGGCATAAGTTTTGTGGGAATTAAGGTATCCGGCATAAGCTGTGTAGTACCTAATTCACTCGGCATAAGTTGTGTATTACCTAATTTGCTCAAAGTTTAGAGAATTTTCGCCTCTATCAGCATAAGCTCTGGAAGAACTAAGTTATGCCTTTCACGGTTTAACTTGTGGATTTTGAAATTGAGGCATAGGCATAAGTTATGTAAAAATTAAGCGACATAACTTGTTATACCTTTGAAGGCATAACTTGTGAGTTCCAAACTGAACTTATGCTTCTGTTGGAATTAAGCGGCATAATTGAAGGCATAACTTGAGTTATATTATGATACGAAAATATAAACTTATGCCGAATAATATTTTTTTGCTGGAGTCGGGTGTATTTACAGCCACTGTTTTTGTTATTTAAAGTGCTGAAGGGAAAAAAAATTAAAGACCACAAATTTGAGGGGCAAACACCATCCCAAGAAAAGGGCAATCTTGCTAATGACCCTAGAGTTTTCCCCTCTGAAATTTTTGGGCCTAGCATTGTTGACTTTGTTGGATGCTAGACACCTAAAAGAATAGACTTGATGGGAGTTTAAGGAACTGCATGGGCATACTTGAAAGAAGGGTTTTACACATTGGTAACATGTGAATAGACAAGAACAATCATGCATATATATGCAGGGGATGACATACTGATAAGCATCTGGTTACTTGAATAAAAAACAAGAGGATAATGTGGAAACAAGAAGTGCTAAGATTAAAGACTAGAAAAATTAAGATAGGCGAAATTCAAGAAATAGATGCCCAAACCTAAAAACTAATTGCTAAAATTCTTAATTGATTGTAGTGGACCTAATTAGTGGATTAGGGCTAATCACGTTTACTAATTGATTCAATTCAAGAACGTAGATCAAAATAATTCACACCCCTAATTGAATAACTAAAGGCAATATTTAGTATAAGACTAGTTACCTTCTTAAGTTAACCGAATAAGATCCATAGATATCAAACAAAGAATTAATCTTAATTTTTAATAGAAATCATTATTGTAAGGTTGTAGGATAAATACCTAGTAGCCAATACACAAAGGTGTAAAGAAAATAACTCCCAATAATATTGATAATAATGTTGTGTCAAAAGAACAAAATTCACCTCTCTATATATTGGAGAAATTTCGAACACCTTAGCATGAGATTCAAATTCTACTTTTATGGAAATAATTAAAGGGAAAAGGGTCAAAATGCCCTTAGACTATGTAAAAGGAACAAAAATGCCCTCCGTTTATACTTTGGCTCAAAAATGCCCTTATCGTCAATACTTTGGTTCAAAAATGCCCTTGTCATCAATACTTTGATCCAAAAATGTCCTTATTGTTATTTAACAGGTCAAAAATGCTCATTTTCCAAATAAATATATTATTTATTTTCTTTTTAACACATTCTTTTTCTAATAATGTTTTTTTTAAAAGGAAAAAGGAAAAATATACCCTCGAACTTTGATAAATAGTACATCTATGCCCTCCGTTATACTTTGCGTCCATCTCAGCTCCTGCTGTCCAATTATCGGTGCACGTATGTCCCTCTCACTAACGGCACCCGCATTTTGTACACGTGTTTAAAGCCTAAGCAACTACCTGATTTTCCATTGCTTTTAACCCATAAACTAAGAACCCGCCTCATAAACCCAATACCTACCCGATTTGTATCTAAAATATCCTAAGTCAAAATTAAAAGACCCAAATATTCTAAGTCACTTTCCTATCTCACAAACCCTAGCCTCCATCAGTAAAGTTCGTGATTCCATAGTTTGTTGGTCGATTTCACCGCGTCTTCGTCGATTCCATTGTGTGTTCTTCATATCACTGAGATCCGGTCGGAGGTACCCATGATTTCACGCTGTTCATTTCACATATATTGTTTTTTTTTTTTTTTCAATTTTCATCCGTAGGTAGTATAGAAATGTGTTGTTCGTCATATCGCTGAGATCCGATTGGAGGTACCCCGATTTGTATCTAGAATATGCTTTTTATAGTGAAAATGTAGGGGTTTGTTCATTTTCTAGGGTTTCACTTTTGAGTCTTAGTCTTTTTATGCGGTTTGTTAGGCTTTATGTTAAAGAATTGTTTTTTTTTGTTTGTATTTAGATGTGTTGAGTTGGTAGTGTCATTTTCTCTTCATTTTCTGTTCCTTTTGTCTCCCTTGTGTTTAGATGCTTTTTGTCTGTTTGTCTTTATGCCCTTTCTTCATGCCTTTATGTTGTAGGTCCATAAGAAATAATTGATAGTTGTTATTTATTTCATTCTAACTGTAGGACCACTTGTTTAATTGTTAACTAGTTTAATATTATTTTAGTTAGTTCATTTGTGAGTACTTATTAGGGACTGACTTACTAACTGAGTTACTTGCTAAATGATTTTCAAGTCTAATTTTTGTAACTTAATAACTAATAATTGCTTACTTAAATGAATTACTAACTGTGACTTACTAACTAACTAAGGTAACTTGCTTATATGACTTACTATGTGGCTGTGACTTACTAACTTTCTATGTGACTGTGACTTACTAACTTACTATGTGACTGTTACTTACTAACTAATTCCTAATTGACTTAATAACTAACTAATGTGACTTACTTATATGACTTACTAACTGTGACTTGTTATTAACTTGTGTTATTTACTAACAATGTGACTGTCTTATGCTTACTATTGTGACTGTGACTTACTTACTATGTGATTGTTACTTACTAACTAATTCCTAATTGACTTAATAACTAACTAATGTGACTTACTTATATGACTTACTAACTGTGACTTGTTATTAACTTGTGTTATTTACTAACAATGTGACTGTCTTATGCTTACTAATGTGACTGTGACTTACTTGCTATGTGATTGTTACTTACTAACTAATTCCTAATTGACTTAATAACTAACTAATGTGACTTACTTATATGACTTACTAACTGTGACTTGTTATTAACTTGTGTTATTTACTAACAATGTGACTGCCTTATTCTTACTAATGTGACTGTGACTTACTTATATGTCTTACTAAATGTGACTTAATGACTAATTAACTTACTTTAATCCTAATGTGACTTAATGACTAATTAACTTGTGTTATTTACTAACAATGTGACTGCCTTATGCTTACTAATGTGATTGTGACTTACTTATATGTCTTACTAAATGTGACTTAATGACTAATTAACTTACTTTAATCCTAATATGACTTAATGACTAATTAACTTGTGTTATTTACTAACAATGTGACTGCCTTATGCTTACTAATGTGATTGTGACTTACTTATATGTCTTACTAAATGTGACTTAATGACTAATTAACTTACTACTTACTATGTCACTGCCTTATGCTTACTAATGTGACCTAATACTTATTTATTTCCTATTGTTACTACAATTCAACAACATATATTCCTCATGCTAGGAGCATAATGCAGTCACATTGTAATCCTAAGGCAGTCACATTATTGGTAAATAACACAAGTTAATAACAAGTCACAGTTAGTAAGTCATATAAGTTAGTTATTAAGTCAATTAGCAATTAGTTAGTAAGTTTCAATCACATAGTAAGTAAGTCACATTCACATTAGTAAGCATAAGACAGTCAAATTGTTAGTAAATAACACAAGTTAATAACAAGTCACAGTTAGTAAGTCATATAAGTAAGTCACATTAGTTAGTTATTAAGTCAATTAGGAATTAGTTAGTAAGTAACAGTCACATAATAAGTTAGTAAGTCACAGTCACATAGAAAGTTAGTAAGTCACAACCACATAGTAAGTCATATAAGCAAGTTACCTTAGCTAGTTAGTAAGTCACAATTAGTAATTCATTTAAGTAAGCTGCATTTATTAGTTATTAAGTTACAAAAATTAGACTTGGAAATTATTTAACAAGTAACTCAGTTAGTAAGTCAGTCCCTAATAAGTACTCACAAATGAACTAACTAAAATAATATTAAACTAGTTAACAATTAAACAAGTGGTCCTACAGTTAGAATGAAATTAATAACAACTAAAAAATTATTTCTTATGGACCTACAACATAAAGGTATGAAGAAAGGGCATAAAGACAAACAGACAAAAAGCATCTAAACACATGGGAGACAAAAGGAACAAAAAAAGAAGAGAAAATGACACTACCAACCCAACACATCTAAATACAAACAAACAAAAAAAATCTTTAACATAAAGCCTAACAAACCGCATAAAAAGACTAAGACTCAAAAGTGAAACCCTAGAAAATGAACAAACCCCTACATTTTCACTATAAAAAGCATATTCTAGATACAAATCGGGGTACCTCCGACCGGATCTCAATGATATGACGAACAACACATTTCTATACTACTTACGGATGAAAATCGAAAACAAAAAGAAACAATATATGTGAAATGAACAACGTGAAATCGTGGGTACCTCCGACCGGATTTCAGTGATATGAAGAACACACGATGGAATCGACGAGGACGTGGTGAATCGACCAACAAACTATGGAATCACGAACTTTACTGATGGAGGCTAGGGTTTGTGAGATAGGAAAGTGACTTAGAATATTTGGGTCTTTTAATTTTGACTTAGGATATTTTAGATACAAATCGGGTGGGTATTGGGTTTATGGGGCAGGTTCTTAGTTTATGGGTTAAAAGCAATAGAAAATCGGGTAGTTGCTTAAGATTTAGACGCGTGTACAGAATGCGGGTGCCGTTAGTGAGAGGGACATATGTGCACTGATAATTGGACGACAGTGGCTGAGATAGACGCAAAGTATAACGGAGGGGATAGACGTACCATTTATCAAAGTTCGGGGGTATATTTGTCCTTTTTTCCTTTTTTAAATTAGCAAATGTTTATCTTACTTCAACTAAAAAAAATGAAAATATTTCTTTTATTATCATTATTGTTTATCGTTATATAAATATAAAGTATGATGGATATACTGTGATCTTATATATATATGACATATTATTTGTCGAAAGAGTACATGAAGTTATTCTACTTTAATTGATAAGATAATAAGAAGAAAAAAAATATTTCCTAAATTTTTATTTGTTAAAGTGATTTTAGAAGAAAGAAAACAAGAATAGTGTTCTTAATAATATTTTAATTAGGAAGAAGATGTGTTTAAAAAGAAAAAATAATATATTTATTCGGAAAAGAGCATTTTTGACCCATTTTGTAACTATAGGTGCATTTTTGGACCAAAGTATTGACTACAAGGACATTTTTGAACCATAGTATTGACGGTAAGGGCATTTTTGAGCCAAAGTATAAACAGAGGACATTTTTATTCCTTTCACATAGTTTAAGGGAATTTTTGACCCTTTTCCCATAATTAAATAGTAAAACTTAACTGGAAAACTTAAGTCACACTTCCCAAACTACCTAACAAAAAAGGAAAGTAACAATTTTGGCATCAAAAGATGCGCCAATTTTCCTTAGTTTGGATGTGACTTTCCAGCCCATTTTTGGCAAAAATTTTAGCCCCTCTTGGGTTCCATTTGAGCCTCAATCTTCCTCTTCTTGGACATGAACTTGGACCATGAAGTGCGTGCAGCACTTAGCTCACTCCTCACCATAATTCTTGGGCTCATCTTCCATGATAAGCATTGTCTTGATCTCCCATTGAAGCTCATGAACATTGTCTTGCATCTTAGCTTCCAAAACATCATTCAAGTCCTTTAATGGAGGTATGCCATTGCCACCATGGATGCTATTACATGCACGACTCCTATGTAAGGAGTTTGTCTTGATCAAATTCAAGACAAGTTCTATCTCATCTATTTTATTGTTTGACAAAGTGAAAAGGAAATCTATATCTCAAAGTCATATCAGGGATATGTGGAAAGATAATTTTTTGGTACCAGGATGTTCGTCCTTTCTAGCTGACTTACATAGTATTTTTGGGTTAGAAATTGGAGAATGATTTAAATGGAAAATAAATCTTCAATTTGGTTTTGAAGATGACTTGTTGCAACTTCTTGTGATCAACTTGTGAAGATACATAATTTTCTCACATGCCAATAATTTTTTTCTCAATGTCTTTGACTTTTGAGACCTAGCAGATTGATTTGAAGCCAGATTCTATTTGCTATGTTTCTACTTTGAATTACACCTAAATTGTCTTTCAGATAGGATGCCTGTCATTCTTGGAAACATGGATGCTGCTGATATGTGGTTGAGTGGTTCTCCATCATCCAACATTGACACACTATTAAAACCATATGAAGAGTCAGATTTGGTGATATTTCTAAACAATCAATCTTTAGGAAAAGAAACTAGTGTTGTGGACTTGACATGTAGTTGCCTTAAACGTTATCTTCGTTGCAGGCTTGGTACCCTGTGACAGCTGCAATGGGTAAGGCTTCCTTTGATGGACCAGAGTGCATCAAAGAGGTACTGATTACATTATTTTTTTTGGTCATACATTTCATGTTGTGAGCCAACCCTATATCAGCTGAAGTCTTATGCTAAATACATTTGTCAAACTCTATATGTATGCAAGAGAACACAGTGCTTGGATGACCCCCAGGCCTTTGATTTGACGGAAAAATTAGTGTAATCTGAGATCTGTGGTAGTCGGTACGTCATGAGTCCAAATCCTATCTCATGAGACATTATCCGCTAAGTTTCGTAATTGGGAAATATGAGATTTCTGCTTGGACGAATCTATAATGCTTGTCACAGATTTGACTTCCCATAATTTCAACTCACCAGCATCGTCAAACTTATTTGTGCTTGAGTTTTCCTTGTATAATACCCAGTTGCTAGCTCTCAGTTAACTTTTCTTTTTAAGTTTTTATCTTCTCAATAATGCGGTCTCATAGCATCATTTATAAGTTTTCTTCTGATTATTATCTACTACATGATACATTCTCTTTTCTTCCTATGTATTTGTCTACTGATGATAGCAAACATCCATTCTGTTTCTGTCCTTGAGACACTAAATTATGCCCTTTTACCCTCTTTTAGTCCTACTTGATGCAAAGCTTGGATAATATTCCAGGCTATTTCCTTGTTCATGGTTCATTAAATTTAGGAGATATGGAGTTGATGATCAATTAATAAGTGTCTATTGTTTACACTTAAAACTGTAGTTGCAGCTCAAGACTAATGAGACCAGATCAATATCACAATTTTTCTCAAAGAAAGGAGACAAAGACCAACAGGGGCAGAAGTCTCATAACAAAGTTGCAGAGGAAGAGATTCTGAATACTGATCAGACAGAGAGCTTGAAACAGGAACCTGAATCAGACCATGTGGGTCATCTGTGTTCCCCAGTCCAACCGGAGAGTTTCACTTCTACTACGGCCACAGACATAAAAGTTGAACAAGATTTCGATGAGTCAGGTAGTAAACAGTCATTGACTGGTCAAACCGGAAATCCACCTGAAAAAGTAGGTACTTATGCTAGCGATAACGTGAAAAGCTTGAAAGAGGAGGAGTCTGAGGATATTAAACCAAAGGACATTTCTCCGCCTCAGGAGGAAAGTGGGGATTCTAAAACCAAGAGATACTATGAGGAGCTCTCAGGAGATGCAATGCCACTTCCCAAGGCGGTCAACACGCACATAAGACCATCAAAAAAGAAAGCTAAAGGAGCTGATGACAAACAACCGACTCTATTTTCTTACTTCGGAAAAGGTTAGTCACATGAAGTACAATGCTTAGACAAGTTCTGTATAATAGTGAAGTTGGTATATCCGTTGCTTAAAAACAAAATGTTGGAAGCATAGGATTTTGTTTGAGGATCACCTCTCATCCTTGGCTTTTAGTTGTAGGCATGTTTGCAGATTTGTATTGATGAAGTTTTTTGTAACCAAGGAAAAAATCGTGGACTTCACATGGGATATTTTGATGGAACTAAAGTGGTTGTTTAGTATATTTAGGTCAATGGTATTGTCTCAGTGGGACTTGATTGTTAGAATTTGGTTGGCTGCCTCCTTTACGTTTCACCCTCTAAAAAGCAGGGGTCAGTTTATATTCACTGAAGCTTACTGATCATCGCGGTGTGCATCCTGCTGTATACGGTTGATTCTCGTATGTTCTATACAGCTGCATGTGTTTTTTTTCTTTTCACGATGAGGTAGTACGGTGCATAATCCATAGAGCAAAAGGATTACATACATGATACAACCGTTATTGACTGCTCTAAATTGTATAAGTCTTCGGCTCTCAGCTTTTGAAATATGATAGCCAAGAACCATTTGAAGCAATAGAAAAGTTAAGCTAGTAAACTTTAACAATTACTAATAGTACTGCACAAATGTTAAGTTACCAATATCCAAAAATGAATGGATCCTATTAATTAGAAACCAAAATCATTGAGAAGTGATACCAGCTACCTCACCATAGAGAATTTTGCCAAGTCCAGGACTCACGAATTAGCAGTCAAATATCCTCAATTGGCACCTCAACAAAAAAAAAAATAATCGCCCAGTCGATAACATCAGGACAAATGAGAATCCTTAGTGTCATTTGGTTTGAAGACAAGTTATGATGTGATTAATTATGTTTGGACTAGTTATCATGACACTTTTTTTAGTGAATGTTTCGTTTGTTCTATTAAAAATAATATGAATTGCATAATATCTTAGAATTGTTCGTTGCAAAAATACCCTCCATAAGTGTAAATTGATGTATAAAAGGGGTATTTATATTTTAACTACTTTATCTCGAAATAAATTATCCTAGGATTATTATTCCACGCAGAGGCGGAGATAACTTATTCCAGTACTAATAATAATCATGTGGTAGTTATCCCAAACTTTGTAACCAAACAAGGGATTAAGAGGTATTAAAAATTTATTTCAAGATTATCTTTGTTTATCCATCACACTAACTAAAGTTATTATTGTGCTCCCAATTTTCAGCTAATGCGATTTCTTGCCGCCACCATCTTCTAGCTGTAGTTTTCCGATCATGGCAACTTCGGTCACTAGTCAGTCGGCTTTCAAGACTGACCAGTCCTCGCTTTCTAATACTGATAGGTTATTTCCACCTCTAACACACCCTAATGATGCTTCGTCATCGAACCCTAGTTTGCCTTGTGTGCCTAAAGAGCCTAACGGTAACACTGATAGGGTAGGGGAAACTGTTCCTAGATAAATATGCTAATATTCTAAGGCTGATAATTGACTCATGAATCTGAAGGTTACTGTTGATCCTATTCCAATGAAAAAAATTGACATTCATTATTGGAGTTCCTAGAATTGTTTGGAGTGATGAAGGTTGCTGTTTTTGTATGTGATGCTAAGTGTTGTCATGTTAGTACTTTTGTCTTGATATTTTTGTTATGACTTTTGAATTAATTTTAATACAAAGTTCTAGAATGTAGAAGATATTGTAATATGTGGTGGAGCTTGATTTAAGCACAAAACAGAGAGTCAATTTCCAGTATTTAGGGGATCTGACACCACTTTATGTATCTATATATGTAGTAAGCATTGCTGAATGAAATGACCTACTTCCCTTTCTCCAAATTATCTCTCTATTATCATATTTGTCTTCTCTTTCTTTCCTTCAATTGGCATCAGAGCTAAATTGATCTTTCAGGGACTATTTTGAGAGAGAAAACACCACAGCAAGATCACCATACAAGTTTAACTTGTTCAGGTCTTTTTTTGTTCAGTTTCCTTTCACATGGCCTCTAGCAGCTCTCCTCTTTCACCCGAATCTTTAATGGTGAGAACTACCAAGTTTGGGTAGTGAAGATGAAAACATACTTGAAGGGTCATGGATTATCGAAGTATATTTGAGGAAGATAGCGCTCCAAAATCTTTGAGAGCAAACCCAACTCTTCAGCAGATCAGAAGTCATGAAGAAAATATCACAAAAGGTCCAAAAGCCCTGTCTTTCATTCACACAGTTGTCTCAGATTCAATTTTTACCAGGATCATGACATGTGAATCTGCCAAAAAAGTTTGGGATATGCTGAAGCAAGAATTCCAAGGGAGTGATGGGACGAGGCAAATGCAAATATTGAATCTAAGAAAAGAATTTGAGATGTTAAGAATGAAAGAGACTGAAAAGGTGAAAGATTATATTGATAGAATCATGAAAATTATCAATCATATCAAATTGTTAGGGAAAAAAGTAGAAGAGCAGAGGATTGTTGAGAAGGTGATGGTGACACTTCCAGAAAAGTTTGAAGCAAAAATTTCCTCAATTGAAGATACTTGGGATATGTTTCGTGTCACATTGAATGAACTATCCAACGCTCTTCTAGCTGTGCAGAAAAGGAAAGCTTTTAGAGAGGAAGAGAGTACAAGTGAAATCTCTCTTGTGGTTGTTCAAAGATCTAAAGCTCAGTTGAATGGTGAACCAAAAAGGCAACAAAATGGAAGACATGGTAAGGAGAAGAACGAGCAGTATAACAACCGAGGGAGATATAGAAGATCCAGTATCCACCTTGTCCCTATTGTAAAAAGACCAATCATACATACAAGTTTTGTTGGTACAGACCTGGAGTTCAATGCAAGTTGTGCAAACAATTTGGTCATGTGGATAAGGTGTGCAAAACAAATTAAAATCAGCCAGCTCAAGTTACTGAAAATGTTGAAGATTCTGAAGAGAAGTTGTTTGGTGCTTCTATTGCTGGAGAATGCAATGTAGCACCTCAAGATCATTATGTGTGGCTTGTTGATAGTGGATGCACGCATCACATGACAGTTAACTTGAACATTTTTGAATGGCTGGACAAAAATTATTTCTCCAAAGTCCCAGACTTGGAGATGGCAGATTTGTAGATGCAAAGGGCAAAAGAGCAATTGATGTTCAAACTTCCTCAGGTATGAAGATTATATCTGATGTATTATTTGTTGCTGAAATTAGCCAAAGTCTTCTCAGTGTTGGCCAATTGCTTGATAAAAATTATGCCCTGTTATTTAAAGATAAAACATGTGAAATCATGGATCCAACTGGTATAAAATTGCTCTCAGTCAAAATGAACAATAAAAGCTTCCCTCTTGATTGGAAACATACTGACATTGGAGCTTATGTCAGCATACAAGATGAAACTTATGTCTGGCATATGAGGCTTGGTCACATCAATTTTGAATCTTTAAAATTGATGCAAAATAAGGATCTTGTGGCAGATATGCCTTCCATAAATGAAACCTAATGTATGTGAGGTTTGTCAAATTGGGAAGCTAAGTCAATCACCATTTCCGATTAATCAAGCCTGGAGAGCTACTGAAAAGCTCCAACTAATATACCCTAATGTGTGTGGACCTATGAGCACTCCTTCTTATAACGTCAACAAATATTTTCTTTTATTCATTGATGACCTTACGAGGTTTTATTGGGTTTACTTTCTGAAACATAAATCTGAAGTGTAACACCCCAAAAAAAATTCTAAGTTAAGCTCCTAACCATTCTTGAATTGCGTATAAGGTCGTACTAAGTGACTGTTAATTTTCTTAGGTGTTAAGGTCAATTTTTTAGTGTGGGAATGAATTTGGATATGAATTAAGGTGACAAGAACCCCTAGCACAAAGTTGTGTTGAAATTTTTCTTAGCGATTAAGTTTTGATGTAAGATTATACTTGGGTCAACTTCAAACGACTATATCTCTTATAATATAAAGAGTTACGTGGACCAGAACCTATTAAATTAAAGGTATTTGAATCTTCTTTCCAACGCCACCAATTTCCGTCAATCCGAGTTTCAAGTAAAGAGTTATGACCATTTTAGTAACCTGATATAGTACAGTGTCGACGGAAAATCATTAAAAAGGGTCGTTTTTCTCTTTTTACCTTTAAGAAAATTCTAAACGAATTTCTTGACTAATTAGAGACCCAAAACAATTAGATTTTCATCTCTTAATCCATCATTCTCTTCTCTGTCAAACCCTAAGGTAAAACCCTAAGGAAAAATCAAAGTAGAAGACTCCATTCAAGATTCTTTCAATCTTTTTCAAGATTCTTCTTCAAGGTAGTCTTTCTCCAAGAATTTCATTCTTTCCAACTCAATTTTTTTCATACAATTATGAATCATTAATGAGAATCCTAATTCTTGGCCATAGAGTTTCAAGAAACTAATTCAAGAAACCTCAAGAAAGGTTTTCTTGATGTTTCTCCTTCAAGCTAGGATTTCAAGGCTTCTAATCAAGTTCTTTTTCAAGATTCTTCAAGAACCTTGTTCTTCCATGTATGTAAGACTATCATAGTATTGGACTAGTTCGTCCTCACGCCCTACATCTACTTTCAAATTAGTAAAAGAATAATCTAGGATTCTACCCCTAGATTTGAGTATTCTTGAGATGAGTTGATTTTGAGTTCTCGGGTTCCTGTTTCTTTTTTAAATTCTATTCCTAATTATTGAATTGCTATATGTTATGCATTAAGATTCTTGAGTTGATTCGTTCATGTCTATATTTCAACATGAACACTATGAATTGAGTATTCTTGAGATGAGCAGTGTCCTTGAGTTCTAAGTATTGAGTTTCCATATTGCTATTAAGACCCTGAGTTGAGTCGTTCATGTCCATAATTCCGAATGAACCCTATGATTTGAGTTATAATATTTGAAAAGCTTTTTAAAGCCAACACTTGAGTTCTTAAACTGAGTTTTTGAGAAAGAAAAGATGAGTTTTGAGAAAAGAGTTTCTAAAACATGATTAATATGACAATCGAGTATGCTATCAATG